ATTTTGCAGTTTGGGTGTGCCCTTGTTTGCTGTACCTAGCGTGGCTGTGTGTGTGTCTTGTTTATAGGTGGTGAACAGGTGGAACTCTTTGAATGGTCTGGAGCCGGCAGTCTGGACCAGTGAGGGACTGAGCTCTTCAACACCTACAGATGACACCATCCTGCATGCTGCACAGAGATGGAGGTTTGAAATAGTTGTTGATTTGTGAATCTGCACCATCACAAGTCACTTTTTGTAATAGTATAAACAAAAGAGTCTTATATTGTGTGCTTTGACTTTAGTTTTTTTTTTTTTTTTGAGGTTGTTGTTGTTTTTCCTCCCCTGTATGGAGAGAAGAGAGGAGAGTTATTTGAATAAATGGAGACGAGTTCCCGTGCTCCAAAGTCATTTAAGTCTGTGGTTCTCAGAGTGCAGGTTTCCAGCCCTCATAGCTCACACGTTACAGTGAGTACTAATTGAAGGAGGGAAAAATTGATCCTTTTTGTTCGAGCATCACTTTTCTGTTTCTCTGTCAGGAGTTAAGTAAGGATTTTATCTTTTCTTTTTTTGTAGGTAAATATATGGTTAAGTAGATGGTTTTGTCTGACAATACTTTAAATGAAATAAAACCGGTAAGCTTCCTTCTGTTCACACTCACCATTATTAATCCTCCTGGCTCCCAGACTCACCTTCTGCTTCACCTCCACAGCTTTAAACCAGACCTCTGGCAGTTAAATAAATATATTTATATTTGGTTTCTGTGAGTTATTTGTTCACATCTTGTGCTGTTAGAATCCTGATATCTCCCCTCAGTTCCTGACAGATACAGAAGTAAAGGGCAGTCTTCCAAGTCTTTCCTTAAGGCTGTAAGAAAAAGCCACCTCTGTGCCCCGCCCCCYTTGCAGACATTGTAWTCACCGCCCCCCCGCGGCTGTTCASTCCAACTRCAGAGCAGAGGGCATAACAACTTATGGAGCTGTGCAGCAAGTTTGTACCTGACTTTCAAATGTAACCTGAATATAGACACTGAAACRGCAGCACAACCAGTTTCAAGGTTTGATAAATCAGACTGCAGGTGCAAAAATGATTACTGCATATCCTCTGCCCTGTATTTTGTGTTATCTGGTAATTATATTTTGCAAATGACATAAATTTCAGTGGGAAAATGTGATACAAATAAAATCACAAAAATATAAAATACTGATGATGTTTTAAAGACATTTCCCAAGGTTCCTGAAAGCAACAGCTGGGAATATTTTGTCCAGCCAGTGTTGAGCTGCCTGTCACCCCTGTCATCTGAGGCCTTGCCCCACAGGGGCCTGGAGTTTGAAGCTGAAAAAAAATACAGTATATATACTTTTTGACTATTTTATTACAGTTACTACAATTACTTTACTATTAGTTACACAACACTAACAAAAAAGAAAAATAATTTTAACACAAACTGTAAAAACAACTTTAAACTCACCATCATAACAAATGAAGGGTTTCTCTGTATCACAGCTGTCAGGCTTCCATCTGCCTGCATCATCAGTCGCAGCACATTGACCACTGTTGTAGTTTTCATCATYAAACTGTAGCTTCCAGTGTCTGAAAGAGGARCTGCTTCCATCTGACCACCTCCAGGTGTCTCTGAACAAACCTATGAACATGTTTACTTTTGGAGAAATTATTATATTCTTCAGTTGTTCATCCTGTAGTTGGTTCAGTCCACTGATCAGGTCTGTGTGTGTGTCTCTGCAGAAACTCTGAGCTTCCAGCCAGGCCAATGTTTCTCTGTATAAAAGTATTTCTGATGAGCTTTCTGTGGAGGAAACAGAAAATTAGTATCTTAGTTTACATGACTCTAGAACGAAGTCTATATTTATTTTTAACTTTTCTAAAAATGTGAAGTTGTGGGGGGTGGGGGTAGTTTTTCTTAGATTTTGTTACATTTAGAATAAAAAACACTTACGTAGCATCTAAAAAACACATCAATRATTTTGAAACTTGTACTCTAGATAAAATTTCTCACCATCATAACAGAGAAAATGTCTTTTCTCTGAGCAAGACACATCTCCCCATGTGAGAGCAGGTAGAGCAAATGCACAGTTCYCAATCTTGTAATCATTTGGTTCTTCTTCTGCCCACTTTGTCTCACTTTCTTTGAACTCCACTCCAGGAAGAGACCAGTACCAGGTCCTGGTGCCATTGGTTTGATCATACAGACCAATCCAAGCTTCAGTGTCATTCTCCAGTTTTATGTTAAGGATTCTCTTCATGTCTGTCATGTTGGACACTGTGGCCAGGTCAGAGTGATACTTTCTGCAGAACTGCTGAGCTTCAGTCCAGTTTTTACTCTCTTCAACATAATGATATTCATAGAGGTGACATGTGATGAAACAACACTGACCTGTAATTAAATAAAATGTTACTGAATTTATTTCTAAATAAAATACTTAAACCAAAACAAACTTATAATTCAGTTGATCTCATCTTTAAAGCTGAGTGAGCTGTGCTGGGACTCCACATGAACATCTCCTGTAAGTGTAAAC